TAATGTGAGGGACTGCGGATGGAAATGAGCTTAAAGCTAAATCTGGCACTGTTACGCTTCATACATTTTAATGTTTTAAGTGTTCATTATTGTGCATTGTCCCTGCCAAATAAACGATTAAATAAATAAAATCTCAAATTATATTTTTGATAATAAAAGATTTTTAAAAAACACATCCGGTCTCTGAAGCTGCGCAGGGTCGGGCCGGGTCAGTACTTGGATGGGAGACCGCCTGGGAATACCAGGTGCTGTAAGCTTATGCCGCGTTTCCACTATACGGCCTCGCTCGGCCCCGCTCGGTATGGCTGGGCCGCGATTGGCCTCGTTAGGACCAGCTCACTTTATGGCGCGTTTCCATTACAGTTTAGGAACTGGGGTAGTATCTATAGTAACGCAGTATAGGCGGAGCGACGCTGCTTAAAACTGCCGTGACGTCATCTTCAATGCGACACAACAATGGAGGATGTGAAGATGTGAAAGCGATCGTTTGCTTGTTTTTTGCTGTGTGGTTTATTATCACAAGAAATAGACAAGAGTTGTTTCGAAAGAGGCGACGTATAGAAGAAGCTGACGCGAGAGTTCGGGCAGTCCTCCTACGCCGCAGAGACTACAGGACGACTCGAATCACTACTAACTACAATGCTACTTGGTAAGCTAACGTTCGCTAACTAGCAATGTGTTTAGGCTCACGCTCCCTATACGACCAAAGTATTTCAAGTATTTAATTAATTGTAGCTACCACTTTTACGTATTAAAATATGTATGCTTTTGTTTGTGTATTTCAGAAGTTACCGACCGAGCTACCGAGTGGTGGAATGTGATTGTTCCATCTTTCACACACTCAGTGGGTGGAGAACTTCAGGATGCCTGAGGAAAACCTACGTTCATTACATGAATTCAAAAGAGGGCATTATGAACAGAAAACAGCGAAGTTGTCATTCAGGAATTAAGGTGTTTAAAAATGTGTAAAACTGATGTGTTTTTTCATGTTTGCAAAATGTAATACATGTTTATTCAGTGATAAAAGCAATAAATACTGAGGACATTGTGAGAAAGCGACATTATTGTATAATATATGTTAAAAACCGGAATGTTTTGCTCGTTATAAGTTAGTCAACATTACATTACATGTTACTTGGGTCTGATGCGCACCTGAATACCTAGAATGTATAATGTAATACCTAAATATTCATTGTATTGAACATAAATACATCTTTTCTTTTTCACATACATGTGTTTGTCAAATTATTTAAACCAAAAAAATGTTATCAGAATTGACTATTTAGTAAATATTTGAATTTCAAGCACCAGTACTGCCCCCATAATAATAATAATCTAATAAATGAAGCAAATATCAAAGCAAACTATAAACATAAATACAAAAGTGTAAAACACAACAGAACTATATTCATAAATGCAAGTGTAAAAAATTGTTAACATGGATGGAGGCTAAAGTATCCACAGCATAAAATAATATGATTATGATGGTTTGTCTGAAAGACACAGCCTCAAGGTTCAAGGTTTTTTATTTTGTCATACGAACATAGCTAGTGTAGTTATGACAATGAACATCTTAGGTCACAGGCTCCTCCAACAGTGCAACACAATAACCCAGATCAACAGAAATATAGTGCAAGTAAATATTAAGCGCTGTGCACCGCTCTCTTTGTATAGGTGTTTTATTTTGTTCTCTTCTCTTTGAAATATATAAGCAATGTGTTTGAGTCTAGCACAACGAGGGTATTACAATTGAGTAATTTTTACTACATGTATTTATCATGTATTCTTAATACCATTATGTAATGTTATGTTTTAGAGGAGGACCTCAAGCTAGCAAACTCAATTTCAAACAGTATGCAGAGTTGTCCTGCTAAAGAGTTAAAATGTATTATTTAACCAAGTATTTATTCTCTTATTTGCTTTAATTGCAACAGATGATAAAGGTTTCACTGTGATAAATATTCTCTTAAATCCATAAACCCCTGTACAGTGCTTTGTGGACGATGGTGTTTATGATATTTCTGACTGCAGAGGGACGCCTAGATGATGCCATCTTTCTGTGTGATCGCTGGTGGGTGCAATTATTTATCAACAAGCAATAAGATAAGACATGGCATTGATTCTGCTGGGCCAGTTGCCGTTCCTGCAGGGCCAGATCGTCTCCTCCTCGGTTTGTGCTGTTGATGCAGAGGACGTTGTTCGGAACTGTTCCTCCTCGCTAGTCCCAATGTAATCATCTAGAACAGAAACATGACTTGTAAATTCCACAAACTACTGCAGCACAATACTATAAATAGCAACAACAACTATAGAAAAGACAAACTGAACGTAAACAATGGCACATATGGTGTTAGCAAACAATAGCTCTCGCTAATGCTATCTGCCTAGCTAGCCTTCGGGGCTCCATAAAATCATGGGTTGTCGAACATAAATGTAAGGATAAAATAGACTTATTTGTTAGAAGTGAGCTTTAGAACAGATAGGGACACAAAGCTTTCAAGCAAATAACAGAACGTTAGCAAAAACGTACCATGCAGACTCCAGTAACGCCAGTGTCTGTGTAGAGACCTCCTGAAAGACTTTGATATTGCGAGTTGTCCCGTCGAGCACCCGCTGGACCTTATCATCTGCAATATAATGGACGTCGTCACTTCCTCGACCGACCATGGTGTGCTTTTCTTTGCCATTGTTGTAGCTCCTCTGTTAACAAAAATGCTGTTTGTAAAAATGGATTATCTAGCGCGCAGATTGTGACGATTCTCTCCGACCAATCAGCAGCCGAGAGCGTTGACGTCACAAACTCAGCCTCGTTGTCTCTGGCCCTGGCCCCACGATTTTATGAGGCCAGAAAAACTGTGAATTAGGACCCGCCGGCCGGTACTAGGCCAAGTGGAAACGCAACCACAAACGGGCCGCTGACGTCACAGCCCTCTTAAACCGGGCTGCGGGCTGTAGTGGAAACGCGCCATTAGTGTCCTTCAATACACACAGCTGAAAAAAGTTTGGACCATGCACAATGAACCATTCATCGACAAACAAATGCTCAAATAAACAAGTAGCCTAAAAACAATGGTCTTTATGTTTTAATCAATGCATTAAACTGACATGCTATTTATAGCTGGTAAAATGTCAGAATAGAGGGTTATTGGACAGTACTTGAAATAACTAAACCTTTATTTTTTAAATTAGTTAAATATAATAAAATATATATAAAATACACATTTCCTTTGTCTTTTTATGTCCTGCAACTACTGCTCCTTTGACACAACCTTGACGAAGGGGCAGGACACACAACTCCCTGTACTTGCTGTGTCAGGTATGGGCTGTCCCAAACTTCCCACACTTCCTGCACATGTTGTGCAGTACTTTGCAGGTCAGCTTTCGGCTGGTTGGAGCAGGACTAGGAGCAGGAAAAGCAGAGAGAGGCTGGCAGTCAGAGCCTGTAGAGCAGCGACCAGGACAGGAACCTGTGAGGTTACTGGAGTAAATATCATGGAGCTCCATCTGAGAGCTCAAATGTGGTGCTGGGAAACTGCCTCTGCACCACCACCCAAGCTGCTGCCGCTGTCCCTTTGCCGTGGCAGCCAGCTGCTGTCCTGTACCTGCTGTCCAGTACCTGATGTACCTGCTGTCCAGTACCTGATGTACCTGCTGTCTAGTACCTGCTGTACCTGCTGTCCAGTACCTGATGTCCAGTACCTGCTGTCCAGTACCTGATGTCCAGTACCTGCTGTCCAGGACCTGATGTCCAGTACCTGCTGTCCAGTACCTGCTGTCCAGTACCTGCTGTCCAGTACCTGATGTACCTGCTGTCCAGTACCTGCTGTCCAGTGCCTGATGTACCTGCTGTCCAGTACCTGATGTCCAGTACCTGCTGTCCAGTACCTGCTGTCCAGTACCTGATGTACCTGCTGTCCAGTACCTGCTGTCCAGTGCCTGATGTACCTGCTGTCCAGTACCTGATGTCCAGTACCTGCTGTCCAGTACCTGCTGTCCAGTACCTGATGTACCTGCTGTCCAGTACCTGATGTACCTGCTGTCCAGTACCTGCTGTACCTGCTGTCCAGTACCTGATGTCCAGTACCTGCTGTCCAGGACCTGATGTCCAGTACCTGCTGTCCAGTACCTGCTGTCCAGTACCTGATGTACCTGCTGTCCAGTACCTGCTGTCCAGTACCTGATGTACCTGCTGTCCAGTACCTGATGTCCAGTACCTGCTGTCCAGTACCTGATGTCCAGTACCTGCTGTCCAGGACCTGATGTCCAGTACCTGCTGTCCAGTACCTGCTGTCCAGTACCTGATGTACCTGCTGTCCAGTACCTGCTGTCCAGTACCTGATGTACCTGCTGTCCAGTACCTGATGTCCAGTACCTGATGTCCAGTACCTGCTGTCCAGTACCTGATGTCCAGGACCTGATGTCCAGTACCTGCTGTCCAGTACCTGCTGTCCAGTACCTGCTGTCCAGTACCTGATGTCCAGTATCTGCTGTCCAGTATCGCTGTGTCAAACTTCCCACACTTCCTGCAGTACTTTGCAGCTTCTCTGGAATCTCACAACAGCGATTTTTAAGTTCAGGCATTTTTTATAAATGATTTATGATTTATTACACCGAACACATTTATAATAAAAAACAATATATAATGTTAACACTGCAATTTTTGTTATTGTGTATAGGAGAGAATAACATACATGGAACACAAATACACTGTCATATTATATATTACATTGTTTGGTTGAGTCCATCTTTGAGATGGAACCAAATGTGGAGGTGATGCTGACCTTGGTATGTGGGAGGTGAAATTATGGGTTTAAGTTTTGTAGTTCAAGTTTAAGTATTTTAAGTGTAAGTATTCTAGTTTGAGGTAAAATCTTTTTTTTTATGAAGGAGTCACACAACAGGTTCATTCTTTTTTCTTTGAGTCAGTAAAGGCAGCCTCAAACAGCAGCTTATTTTCTGTGTACTGGTTTTAGGAAGGAAAAACAAATGAGGCACAATTCTTTATATTCCTACTGGATTTATGTCAAAGTAATAATAATAATCATAATACAAGACAACACTTTGAATTAAAAAAATGTATTTAAGCATTTTCTCTGATAGAGTTTACAACAGGCTTTTGACATGTTACCAGAACAAGGGAAATATATTTTGAACAGGAAACACTATTCAAAACAGAACAGCTTACAAATAATACATAAATACAATAAATACATTACAAAATTGAAATAAAAAACCCAATATGAACAAGTTAAAATTGGACAAATACAATACACAAGACAATATCAGGAAAGACTGTTGGTAAAGATTATGATAAAGTAAGGAATTAGCAGCCCAAGTTCCTCAGGGAGGATTAGTTTGCAGTCTCCCTGAAAAGTTTAAATCCAGGTATGGTATGATGCTTGGATAAAACATTCTTTATACTCTTAACAGTCGTATAACGTACATATGTCATTCATCTGTTACATACGTAAACTATCACTCAGATGCTTTTTAGTTGTTCATATTGTGACCACTGTTTGGCTTTTTACTGAATACACCAGATGCCAAACTCCAATTTCTTCAGCAGGAAGTCTCTGCCTTTACAGTGGAAAAGATATACAAGTAAACCCTGAATATCTCACAGGCTGCTGATTCCTCTCTTCTATGGCTGTTATTGGTCAGGAGGATTCAGGAAGTGTAACATGTTTCTGATTGACACTTTCAGCAGTAATATGTGGCCATGCCAATTTCTTATGTATCTGCAGCTAAAACGTACTGTCCATGCAATGTGTTTGCAGTGAGCTGAGCCTGTAAGGTTGCATCATCTGTTTGATTTCATCATGCCTTAGCCAAGTTAGCACACACTGAGACATGTGATGAAGCTGTGAGACATTTACTGACATCATGTTACAGGATTAAATAAACCAGTTCCAAACTTTTGCGCTTGTTGTTCAAATGCTGTAAAACTGTAAATCAGTAGCATAAATCGCAACAGAGCAGAAGATATTATTTAACCTTGTAACCAATAGAGTGGTGCAGGAATGAGCAAAAATTAATTATCATTTTAGCACATCCGGTTCCCTCGTCTTAAAGTTGACGTTTTTTTAAATATGTTTTTTGTTAGAAGCCTGAAATAAGATCTGTGGTTAACACAAGCTCATGTTTTGTTTTACGACATAAATATGTCGGTAAATACCCCACTGATGAATGTCTGAAGCTTCTATATGTGTGACAAACGTTGGTTGTCTGAATAAGACTAATAAAAGTCATAACGCCAAGCATTAGCCACCTTTAGCTTAGCGGTGGTGATGTGCAGCCATGCGACTGTCAAGTAGTTTGTTTATAGCCTAGCCTGTGTTTGCAAAATATCGTATTTTCTGGAATAACCCTAAATCCATTAAAGAAAACAAATTGCCTTTTGGCAAGGGAGCCCTTGCGATGCTACTTTCCGGGATGTCACCACTGCACCACTCTAGTCAGCTGTAGTGGCTCATAGATTCTGAAAAGTCAGACTAGGACCACAGAGAAACCAGCTATAGTCTTGGTAAATTGTAGATGAAGTAAAAGAAAATGTGTCACTGCCATCACTCAACATATTGCAAAGTAGCCCCTGGTAGGACCCTGAACCCTCCCTGCACTTCAGGGGGGAATAAAAAAGAGAGTGATGATCTCTCCCAGCGTATTGATGAGTCTGTAAGGCAGTTTGAGTTAATGTCATGCACACTTGGCAGTGGTCAGACAGAAGGCCATGATGGAGGGAGGCACCAGGATGTCAGTGAAGATGGGCCGATACCCTGCAGGCAGAGGGGGGGCGCTCTGCTCCAACAGGTCCAGTACGGCCCCTCTGACGTCCCTGGAGACATCACCACGGATATCCAGCAGCACACACACATGCTCTTCACTGAGGGGACAGAAAAACATGGTCATAAGCTACAAAATATTCATGTTTTTAAATGGTTAACATCGGAAATTGACATAAAACTCTTTAAAATTATGCCATGCTTTAATAATCCCCTAGGGAAAATCAGGTCTTACTCTGTTGTTGATATACAGTTACAGTTCAAATACACACATGCACAAACACATGCGTTCATGGAGACGTGTCCCAGCGACGGGCTGCCATGTTTGGGCACTATTGAGCCTTGCTAAGGTCACTTCTTTAGTTCCCAGTAAGCGAACTCGCTATATTTTTGGTCTGTGTGGTACTTGAACCAGTGACCAGCTGGCAGGGCCGTCCCTGGCCAACATGAGGCCCCACGCAAAGTTATATGATGAGGCCCTCTGTTTCACGAGCGTCGACAGTGGAGGGTGCTAGTGGAGCCTCGCAGCGGCGAAACCGTGCCGCGTCACACTAATTGCACCGCATAAGTGCATTGGTGCGCCGCATTTTCGGCTCAGTTGAGGCACCCTCCGCAAGATGAGGCCCCCTCCGCAAGGTGAGGCCCCACGCAGTCTGCATGATCGCCTGTAGGGAGGGACGGCCCTTCCAGCTGGTTTTGTATGGACTGACCCCCATCTTAAGGTCCTTACACACCGAGCCGATTTTCGGCGTCGTAAGATGTCGATAGATGTCGGGCCGCCGATGAGCGTCGTATCGCCCTACTCAGATTGGTGTGTACTGCACCGTCGTGTCTTTTCGGCCGTGCCGACACCTTCCGTCGCCGATTCGACATGAGCCTCTCGTTGTAGAGTGAAAATGGAACGCACACGCTATTAGTTGTTTGTTTATATCACGCAGTCTGTTCTTCTTCTCTCGGTGTATCACGCAGTCTGTCTTCCGGTTATTGCCTCTTTTGAATGACGAATACACACTACCGCCGCCTGCTGGTAAGGAGAGTTATTGCCACTAACACATGTCAGTTTGGTGTGTAAGGAGCTTTAGTGTCCGGAGCAGGGGGCAGCTGTTGTATATACAGCACCCGGGGATTAGGGTCTTGCTCAAAGGCACTTAATTTGAACCAGCAACCCCTCTGGTTCCTAAGCCAAGTCCTTACGCACTGAGCTGCTGCCGCCCCTCAAGATGATTGAATTTGATTATAATTGATAGTATGGTTATTGAACTATAAATCGCAACCTGGTCTCACCAGAATGCGTGACTCCACCACGACTCCTTAACACCGCAGTGCGTGGTGGAGTCACGAACTTTGCTACATTTACGTGTCTGCACCACGCAAACAACCCCAATGTAAAGTGAATGAGGCTCCTTTGTCGTGGTGCACACACGCATTTCTACAACGTCCAGCAGTGAGCTTTTATTCTATAAAACGTTTTTAAAATCTACTTTATAGCTTGTAGTAACTCACGGGAGGTTTCTTTTATTTTATTTGTATTCATAATTATTTTTATTTTTCGTCAGAATGTATTATGGTGCATTATTTACCAATTTTTGTTCTCAAAAAACAGTGCATTGTGTGTAATACAACTGTGATTTTTATTAAATTAGTTAGTTTTTAAGGAAGGCCAGAGCTTCAGCTGTGTCAAATAGATTGTTCCCTTTAGTTAACGTTATTTAAAAGATAATTATATTCCGATTTGATCATGTCCCCTTTATTGTATTACGGACCCAAAGAGCAATGTGAGCGTCCATTCCCATTGGATAACGGAGGATTTTACACCCGGAAGTAAGTATTCTCCTTACTGTCGATTGATTTTACAGTGATATCTGCACTACTCATCAACTCAAAAACATAAAGATTATCCTTGTTAATTACACAACATTGATTGGTTTAAATTGTGTGCAATGCTTTTGTAATTTTCCCCTTCGATTCGGAGAAACAAATATTTGTTCAGAGTTTAGGATGGCCGAAAACACTACACTACCCAGAATCCTCAGCTATTATTCCGCTTTGCCTCAAGCTCTGTGATTGGTTGACCTTCAACTGCATTCCATATGAAAAAAACGTTTCGTAAAAGATAAAATCATACTTTATTCAGCAGTGCTTGCTTTACTCTTTGAAAGTCATCACATGAATGCATTGTAATGAATGGTTTGGCTGCATTAAACATGACACATCTGTCGTAGTTCTTTATTTATCTACAGAGATCGGGCCTCAGAATAGACCGGAAACTATTCTTTTACCGTTCTGTTTTAATTTCACAATAAAGTTAGTAGTAATAATTTGTTTTGATATTATTGTTTTTTATTAACTACTAGACCGCTGGGTCATGTTAAGACCATCTTTTCTGTGTTGCTGTGGGTTTTTTACATCGCTTTTGTGTTACAAATATCAAAACAATAACAGAATATATCCGTCGTAAACTAAACCAGAAACAGCAGTCTATTTTATTTTGTTAACACTGTAAACTTGACAGCTTTTTAACCTGCACCTCCTACTGGTTAAAGCACGTTATTACACGTTTAGAGTAATTGCAATGCAGGTAGATTGTGTTGCTTTTTAATTACTGTTTTAAAATGCCTTTTTCTTAATGTCTTTCATTTTTGTAAAGCACTTTTGAATGTGTTATATTTGATGAAAACATTTAAATATTAAGAGTACATACTCTTAATATAGTGGGAAAGTGGAAGGTCAATGATATAAATAATATAGAATAGAAAATATCAAGAAGATACTGTAAGTGATCTCTAAATAAAACAGTTTAGTGCCTGATAGGAGGATGTGCAAAACAGACAAACTAATAAGGCTTTATTTAAACATTAAAGAATACTTTAGGTTAAGGTCTTCTTTTAAATAAGAAAAAAGCTTTGGGGGTATCTACAGATATTAAGCCTGACAAAGTACTTAACGTCTAATATTGGTTTGTTTGTTTTGGAACTTGACAATCAACTTTCCTGCAATGTTAACTATGTTGAAGCACTTATTTTAACTGATATTATACATATTAATTATACTCTTATAAGATGTATGTAGATAGTATAAGAAATGTGCAGAATATGTTTAATGGTGGAGGTACACAGATATCGATAGATGTCTTGTAATGCACTGTTGAGGAACCTGTGACCCAAGTTTTTCATTCATTGCATAACTACACCGTAGTTGTGTATATGATATGTTAATAAACCTTAGAAAATCTTGAAATCTTGAAAGGGATGTGCAAAATAGCCATTATATACAGTTTTTAATTAACTATTAGTAGAGAATAACGAGGAATGAATATACTTTATAGGGATCTGCAGATAAATATTTAGTCTTCTCAAGCACCCACTACCAAATATCTCGCCTGATTGTTGGCACTTGACAATCACCTTCACTGAATTTTACTCAGGTGTAACTAACGTCTGATTTAAGGGTTGTTTATATTTCACATCATTAATCCAAATATGTAAAGTAACTAAAATAAATGTAGTGGAGTAAAAATACCAGGTTAACCTTAAAGAAAGCCCTCAGGATTATAAAAGACCTCCATCACCCCAGCCACAAACTGTTCTGTCTGCTGCCGTCTGGCAGGCGGTACCGCAGCATCCGGACTAAAACCACCAGACTCAGGGACAGCTTCATCCCACAGGCCAGAAGACTATTAAACACCTGAACTTTGAAACAACATCCATAACATTCATCTGGCTGCTACTTAGAAATTATTTATCTAATATATCATATTCCAATCACTTGTATATAGTTCTATTTCATACTTACTGACCGCCAGAGGCACTGATGAACTGCTCACTAAGGCTTACGATGCAGCGGCGCGCATGGGCCGTATAGGCAATTCCCTCTCTCACCTCATGCTCGCCCTCTCAGCCTCCCTGCAGCAGGAGGCTCTTGGCGCTTCCTCTACCAGCCTCAGTGACGCCTCATTACAGGCGTTTGCTCTGATGTCCAGAGAGCTTGGGCGCCTGATGTCCACTCTCGTCCAGACTCGTCGCCAGGTTTGGCTGGCACAGTCACCCATATCAGAGGCATGTAGGAGAACTCTCCGTGCGGTCCCAGTGGAACCGGGGGAGCTGTTTGGTTCAGCGGCCGTACAGCTGCTCGAACGGACTGTCCAAGCTAGTCAGACCAGGCAACAGTTCTCAGCTCTTCGCAGAGACATGCCCCCCCCCGGTAGGCCTAGAGGCTCCGCACCTGCCTCCCGAGGCAGATCCCATCCACCGACTTACCCCGGTGCCCGCCTTGGGCCTCAGTATCCCACGGGGGGGCCGGCCCGCTACGGTCCTGTTAACTCGCCCCCAAGGCAGCCGCGGTATCCGGTGCCTAACCGTCGCCCCCCCAGGGCCTCCAGAGGCCGGGGGGCAAGGTACTGAGGGTCTGGGGCCGGCTGTCGGTTATTACTCTCAGCAGCAGCTCAACTACTGGGTAGCTCAAGCTTCAGACCCCTGGGTGGTTTCCACTTTAACCCAAGGGTACAAGCTTCAGTTCCGATGCCGCCCCCCAGTCTTCAGCCGGGTCAAAATGACCACCATAAACGACCCGACAAAAGAAGTCGACCTAAACCAGGAGCTGTCAGTCCTCCTGGCCAAGGGTGCAATCGAGCCTGTGGACCCCATCTTAGAACCTGGGGGCTTCTACTCGACCTACTTCCTGATAAGGAAGAAAGGCGGGGGACTTCGCCCAATCCTCGATCTGAGGGAACTCAACAAATTCCTGAAGATCTTACCTTTCCATATGCTGAGCACAGCGGACGTTCTTCGTACCGTTGCCAGGGGGGAATGGTTCACGTCCATCGACTTGAAGGACGCTTATTTTCATGTGCCTATTGTGCCTCATCACAGGCAGTTTCTTCGATTTGCCTTCAGAGGCCGTCATTTCCAGTTCAGGGTGCTTCCATTCGGACTCTCCCTCTCCCCAAGGGTGTTCACCAGGTGTGTCGCGGCAGCTCTCTCGCCCCTGCAGTCTCAGGGTATGAAGATTCTGCCATACTTAGACGACTGGCTAATCTGTGCACCATCCCGGTTGCAGTCGACCCAGGACACGGCTCTCCTTCTCTCTCATGTCGCCCGGCTAGGCCTCAAGGTGAACATGGAGAAGAGTTGTCTGAACCCCTCTCAGAGCCTAACCTTCATTGGGGTGGTTCTGGACTCAGTCACTATGCGGGCCTGTCCATCTGCTCAGCGCCTGGACGACATCCTCCAGCTTTTTCCCCTCTTCAAAGGGGGCAGGTCTCTGGCATATATCCTGTTTCTCCGCCTCTTGGGCAAGCTGGCAGCTGCCTCAACTGTCGTTCCCTTGGGCTTGTTGTCACTGCGCCCCCTGCAGAGATGGCTGAACGGCCTCCACTTAGACCCCAAGTGGCACAGGCACAGAAAAATCAGGGTGTCACAACAGTGCCTCTCCACTCTATCCCCATGGAGGAGGAGGTCGTATATGTCAAGGGGCGTGGCCATGGGCTCCGTCCCTTTCCGCAGAGAGACCGTTACGACGGATGCCAGCCTCTCGGGATGGTGTGCGGTGTGGCAAAACAGAGCATATCAATGTGCTAGAGCTACGAGCTGTGCACCTAGCACTCAGGCACTTCCTGCCATACCTGAGGGGGAGGCATGTGCTTGTCCGCTCGGACAACACTACAACGGTTTATTATATAAACCATCAAGGGGGCACCAAATCTGCACGCTTGCTAGAGGTGTCCCAGACTCTCCTGACCTGGGCAGCCCCTTGCCTGGCCAGCCTACGGTCAATGTATCTGCCCGGAGAGAGGAACCAAGTCGCAGACTTCCTCTCCCGTCACAAGCCTCCACCAGGGGAGTGGCGACTTCATCCAGAGGTGGTGGCCAACATCTGGGGTCTCTTCGGCAGGGCAGAGGTAGATCTCTTTGCCTCGAGGATTTCGACCCACTGCCTCCTATGGTTGTCCTTGATGGAGAAGACCAGCCCTTTGGGTCAGGACGCCCTGGCTCATTCATGGCCAGGGTGCCTTCTCTATGCCTATCCACCCCTTCCCCTGATCCTACCAACACTCCTCAGAGTGCTTCATCAGGGCCACAGGCTTCTTTTGGTGGCCCCCTTCTGGCCAGCCAGGACTTGGTTCTCCCTGCTGCACAGACTCTGTTGCGGGACACCTTGGCGTCTCCCCAACAGGGGGGACCTCTTGTCTCAGCTGGAGGGTCGGATATGGCACCCCGACCCCGGCCGCCTCCAGCTGTGGGTCTGGCCACTGGAGGGCCCGACCCACTGCTGAGCGACTGCGTAGAGCCTGTCAGGAGGACTATCCTCAATGCTAGGGCACCATCTACTCGTAAGCAGTACGAGAACAGGTGGAAACTGTTCTCTAACTGGTGCCAAGGGCGGAATGAGGACCCAGTACATTGCTCGGTGCCTACTATCCTTGAGTTCCTGCAGTCCCTCCTGGACGACGGCCGGTGTCCCGCTACCGTCAGAGTGTATGTGGCTGCTATATCAGCTCAACACTCAAGGGTTGACAACAGCACAGTGGGGAGCCATAGGCTGGTATCCCTCTTTTTAAGGGGAGCACTGAGGCTTCGCCCCCCGAACATCCCAAGGGCCCCTACATGGGATCTGCCCTTGGTGCTGGATGCCCTATGCTCGCCTCCCTTTGAACCCTTGTTACAGGCAGAACTGAGGTGGCTCTCAGTCAAGACTGCTTTCCTTCTTGCCATCACCTCAGCAAAACGTGTAAGCGAGCTTCAGGCCTTGTCTGTGAACAGCTCGTGTCTGAGGTGGAACTCAGATGGCTCAGGTGTCACCTTATGGCCGAACACAGCGTTCCTCCCTAAGGTGCTGGCACGCTCTCATTTTAATCGGCCTATCCAGCTGGCACGGTTTGACCCCCCATCAGGAGAGGGGGAAGAGAGGTCGAGACTCCTATGCCCGGTGCGGGCCCTTAGAGCTTATGTCCAGGCTACCGCTGACATGCGTCAGTCTGAGCAGCTCTTTTTGTGTTACGGTGGTCCTAGAAGGGGCTGTGCGCTCTCAAAACAGCGCTTGTCCCACTGGATCGTGGACGTCATTGCCCAGGCATACAAGGCGAATGACTGTCCCTTGCCACCTAGAGTAAAGTGCCACCCTACCAGGAGTGTCTCCACATCATGGGCGACCTGGAGAGGTGTGCCCCTGGAGGACATATGTGCTGCGGCCACATGGGCATCTCCGAGCACATTCGCCAGATATTACAGGGTGAATGTTGCCGCCCCTCACCCGCTGGGTGTGGTCCTCCTGCAGAGTCCGTCTAGGCCATCCTTATAGGTGAGTATTCAGACTTCCTCGTGACTCTGTTGATATAGGTCATCCAGTGCTAAAGCACCGCCTCTGGCGGTCAGTAAGTATGAAATAGAACGATAGTTACGTATGTAACTACGGTTCTATGAATACTGGATGACCGCCAGAGTTCTTGGTCACTCGGAATTTCGTGTTTCTGCGAGAAGATTCCATAGGACTGAGCCCGTTGACAGCACCGGAACTTATACCTTCCGGTGTCATACGGGGTCACACGTGACTTTGTTGATATAAATATTCGACCTACGCATGCGCGAGACAGAAGATATCCAGTGCTAAAGCACCGCCTCTGGCGGTCATCCAGTATTCATAGAACCGTAGTTACATACGTAACTATCGACTCTTATTGCACTATTTCACTTTTTACTATTTTACTATTTTTCTTTTTGTATTTACTGCACTATTTTTTCTGTGTATCTGTTTTATTGTGTTGCACTGTTGGAGGAGCCTGTGAGGGGGGGGGGGTAGGACACGTTCTAAGCACATGGTGTAGTCCCATAGCTGAGGATTCTGGGTAGTGTAGTGTCTTCTGCCATCCAAACACTCAGAACAAATATTTGTTTCTCCGAATCGAAAGGGGTAAATACAAAAGCATTCTACACAATTTAAACCAATCAATGTTGTGTAATTAACAAGGATAATCTGGTGTTTTTGAGTCGATGAATAGTGCAGATATCACTGTAAATAAAATCAATCGACAGTAAGGAGAATACTTACTTCCGGGTGTAAAATCCTCCGTTATCCAATGGGAATGGACGCTCACATTGCTCTTTGGGTCCGTAATACAATAAAGGAGACATGATCAAATCGGAATATAATTATCTTTTAAATAACGTTAACTAAAGGGAACAATCTATTTGACACAGCTGAAGCTCTGGCCTTCCTTAAAAACTAACTCATTTAATAAAAATCACAGTTGTATTACACACAATGCACTGTTTTTTGAGAACAAACATTGGTGAATAATGCACCATAATACATTCTGACGAAAAATAAAAATTATTATGAATACAAATAAAATAAAAGAAGCCTCCCGTGAGTTACTACAAGCTATAAAGTAGATTTTAAAAACGTTTTATAGAATAAAAGCTCACTGCGGGACGTTGTAGAAATGCGTGTGTGCACCACGACAAAGGAGCCTCATTCACTTTACATTGGGGTTGTTTGCGTGGTGCAGACACGTAAATGTAGCAAAGTTCGTGACTCCACCATGCACTGCGGTGTTAAGGAGTCGTGGTGGAGTCACGCATTCTGGTGAGACCAGGTTGATAAATCAGGGGCGGTCAGGTTACCTGATGTCGGGGTATTTGGCTGCCAGTCCAGAGACCTCCAGAGTCAGCATGTTGGGGTCTTTCAGTCTGATGAAGTCAGCCAGGACGGGCAGTAAGGCCAGAGGGTTCACTTCAGGTACTGACCCTTCTCCTTCCTACACACAGACACACATATGAGTGATATGGTAGGGGAGAGTGTGGTAAGATGACCCCCCTCCTGTATCTAGGGAACTGTACACATTTGTTGTCATGTGACCATACATTCAGGAAGCACCCATCATTTATATTGGTCTGTGATGGAGAGAAGCACATGTTAAAGTGGTAAATGTGTTTGTTTCACAATAAACCATGTTTTGCTTGTCAAAGTACATTTTCCACATGTCAGGTTTAATTACTGAATCTTCAAAACAAATATATCCAGGTCTGAAAATATGTATCATACATGTTGGTTATTTAGCAAGGTGTAAAACCGCGTAAATCATTTAGCTAAAGACTAGCATGAAGGATTAAGATAGACAGTGAGCCACATGCTGTGCAAAGTCCTTAACTGAACCCCCCATGAGGCACTGAAGTTAAGTTAAGTCTCTGTAGTATAAAATTGTATTTCAAAGCAGTTCTACACAACTGATTTGTTTTTTATGTTTTAAACATTGTAGTAAAGCCATCACGCCAAGAGAAAGACTGAGGAGATGGAGAGAGCCACTGATGGCGAGGGTGGAAAATCCCTCAGAGCAGTGGCAAAAGACAGAAATATTGACAGATCAACCCTGGGTAGATGTGTAACCAGCTATATTTACCAGGATATATATTTAGGGCTGTTTGGTTTATTCTGATTTGTTTTAATGGCATCAATTCCCTCCAAACATGATTTATATTGTCGATGAAACAGGTGTCACTACAGTGCAGACACCAAAGCAGGTAGTGGCAGAGAAAGGATGATATATTATATTATATTATATTATTGATATAAATGTTTTACTTATACTTAGGTTTAAACTTGAAGTCTGGGACTTCTCTGCAGCACCACAATACTTTATTCAGATTGTTTCAGATATTTTGCTTTGAACAAATATTTGGCTTACTGCGATTTCGATATGGCACTTTTCCATTTGGTGATAAAACTTCTAAAACTACAGCAGCATAAAGAAAGTGTGTAATCTACTCTCGTCATCATTTTGCTATAAAACCAGCCTTTGAGAAACCCTTCATACAAAATCTGTTAACAGCATGTAAATCAAATAGAGTGCATTAGAGAGTGTTTCCCCTCACCAGGCCGTGGAGGATCTCTCTGAACTGCTGGCTGTCCTGCACCACCTGCTGGGCCAGCTGCCTCCTCTCCTCAGCGCCGCGACACACCAGCTTCTTCTGCATCAGAGCCCGCACGTACTCCACCACCAGCAGCCACTGAGCCTCCTCCTGCAGGCGCTACACACACACACACACACACACACACACACACACACACACACACACACACACACACACACACACACACACACACACACACACACACACACACACACACACACACACACACACACACACACACACACACACACACACACACACACACACACACACACACACACACACACACACACACACACACACACACACACACACACACACACACACACACACACACACACACACACACACACACACACACACACACACACACACACACACACACACACACACACACACACACACACAGAGAGATTCAGTATGGACAAAGGACACGTCTTCTACATCTACACACAAATATTATGCTGTCCAAAGTGTTTTTAGAGTTATAAAAAGATTGAACATCCACACAAAATATTGATCGACTGCTGAAGGTGAGACCCTAAAGGCTAAAACCGTGTTCTTTCATGCACTCAACAATTTTGAGCAAAAAAACATGCATTCTATACTCTAATGTATTTAGAGTTTAATGTGTGAAGACCCACAATTCTTAAGCTCTAAACACTGGGTTTTATAAAACATAAATGGTCCACAGCAGATGTACCAGTGATAATTGTCTTTATAGCTAAAACACAAGTGTGAGTAAAGCTGGGACCTCTCTGCAGGGGGGCCGCACATGGCCGTACAGCTCCAAGTGAAGCTCCAGGACGCTGCAGAGTTTGGGGGTGGGGTCTCCCTGGACCAGCCAGGGTCGGGTCATCAGGCCGGGGAGGAGGGGCTGCAGAGCCAGCAGCAGCTGATCCATCACCAGGCGACAGGCCCGCCGCACCGCCCGGTCCAGAGCGGCCAGGGGGTTGGGGGGGGTCCGAGAGAACTGTCCTGCAGACCGGGACGACTGCTGCTGCTGCAAGCTCACTGTGGACTTCCTGTGGAGAACACAGGGGACAGACAGGGTATCATTAAGGTCTGGATTCGTTATTTATTTTCATTTCATTTAGGTTTTTGAAGAAGCTGCAGGAGGCAGGCCCTGTCATATCTTGAGAGGAGAGAAAACAAGTTACGGTTACAATATCTCATTCCTCAATCTAATCATCACTTTGTAATATAAAAAACACATTATTGGACCCATAATATTCACTCTGGATATCAATATTGACCACTGAGGCTAATATTGTGAGCATCCATAAGGAAAGATACTGATGAAATTACATTTTTATTTCGGAATAGATGCGCTGATGTAAGACCATGCTGTAAGAAAGTGTTTCTATGGTTACACAACATGTTATATACTGTAGCAATACATGCATAAAATAAATTAACAGTGTAATCCCTCCCCCGCCCCTACTACTGTTATTATTTTTTTATGCATAAGCATTGTCCATTGCTGTTTTTCTTGTTATGTTTGTCTCAGAAAATATATGAGAACATATGTTTGCCACTTATCGTAATGTGTTGATGTGGAATGGCAGGTCATTGGAGCTGTCGTGTTGAACGTGTTCACCAACTACCCAATAACTTGTATGAACACCTGCAAACGAATTTTAGCTGATTAAAAGAAAAGCTCTTTTTAATAGGTTGAGTAAAAAATAGTAGCATGCTGCTCCCACTCCTTCACAATGCATGTGATGTTTGTAGCTCATGCCATAGAAGTTGTTCTGGAAGGACAACAGGCTAAATACGTCTCGAGTAGAAGAACATGAGTAGCACCCATCATCTATAATCTCACTTGAGGATGATGCAGTTGCTGATGGAGGCCAGCAGGTAGTGGAGGTAGAACTTGTTTTTGTCTTTGCTTGGATCCCTGCGATGCTCCTTCCCAAACTCCACCAGAGCTTCTCGAAACCTGATTTGTTAGGATGGAGGTGAATGAAAGGGTGAAGGTAACACATGCCTGCTTGATATACTGAATCAAAATTAGGCACATTATATAAAATATTTCACACCTATTGAGGAGGTTCTCCATCTCATACAGGCCCATCTGAATCATCTGATCTCTGAGAGACTTCCCGATCATCAGAGCCACCCGGGCGTTGTCCTCCAGCATCTACCAAACACAAAACAAACAAATCTGCACCAAATACACATCATTGTATGACAAATGACTGGATACATCTACAGGGCCACTGCACCAAATTGGTATGTGTTTTTAGTGTAGTGTTTGTGTATGGCCTGTGTACCTGTGTGATGATGGTGGGCAGGCTGGTGAGGTAGAAGCCTTCATGGTCTGTGTCCGGCTCCTGGTCTCTCTGCCAGTCCTGCAGCTCCACCTGCAGAGCTTTGTGCATCCACTCTGACACACTCTTCTGTAAGAACAACAGCATGGACACACACATTGTATAACTACACAGATCTCGTGGATTTCTCCGTCATTACTTTCTGTATGTGGCTACTACCTACTTTCTATCTCAGGGTACTCAGCACGTACCTTTCAAAAAGATAACTGATGTCCTTTTACTAAATGTTGATGATGGATGACCAGCATAAAATGTGTGGTCGTGTTACTGTGTAACGTCTTTAAAGGTCACCTACTATGCAAAATCCACTTGTTCATGTCTTTTATACATAAATATGTGTCGACCATTAGCCAATCACCAACCAAGGTAACCCCCCCCCCCCCACCTTATCACCTGAATCTCCTCCTAGAGCACCATTATGTGTTTTTTTTTTAAAAAACAATCACAGGGGCGTTGCCAGCAGCAGTTCATTAGCATTCAAAGCTACAGACACAGAATCAGCACTTTTGGAATAGGGCTGAAACAGAGGGGTTTATGGGATGCTACAATGATCTGTTTGGTGTTTCAGCCAAACACTTCAGACACATGTTCTGTATATATCTGAGACCTGTAATATATTGTTGAAAAGGAGTACAACAGGGGACCTTGAAAACTCTAAACCTGCGTGCTGAACTTACTTAAGCTACAGGTTTAAACAAGTGTTTATGGTGGACTCACCCGAACACTCTGCACGTATTTGTTCTGCAGCTGCTCCAGTCCCTCGGTGGAGATCAGGGGTCCCAGTTCCACCTTCTCCATCTCAGCCTCCAGCTCCGGCTGACCCATCATGTCTGGGCTGCCAAATCAAGACCTTCAGACTCTGAGTATTTCATTTTAAACGATATTCAACAGGTTCATTTGCAGCCAAAACAAACATTTTGTTTACTGTATGAAAGTGGAATAAAAAATTGTTATCATGGCGCGATAATCAACTTTTTATTTGGGCAGCACAATGTGGTGGAGGTCTTCATGACTCTTTAGAGCCAAACACTCTCACTGCTCATCGGTTACATATGTGGTCAACCTAGAAGCAGCTCAAATAGATGTTCCCTTTTAAAGTAGTCTGAACAGGTGCAAAGAACAGAGCAAATATTCAAGAGAAGTGAAAAAGTAAATAACTTATGTAACACAGAATTGGTTTTCCGTCTTTCTTTCTTTCTGGTTTATCATTTTGCAAGACCTTCTGGGGTTCAGCTTGTGTATTGGGGATCACTGATTTAGACTAATGTACCCCTGAACTATATTATGAAAGCTGGGATTTACAATTCACAACTGATGAAAGTGATTAATGACATTATTTGGGTTCTTTTCTGCTCTATTAAATGGTAATTAGGGGAAATGTGGATAGATTTAGAGCTAAAAGAACCCCACACAGACAGAAAACAAAGAATATAATACAGAATATGAAACTGTGTGCAGGTCCTGCCTCTCACCTGTTGTAGGTGTGTAGCACCCAGTTTAGCACGGCGAAGATTTCTCCACTCTCCAGGTCCCAGCTGCTAACCTAGGCCACAAGTATCACTTAGTTTGGAAATAGTTGTAAAAATGATGATTCATCTACAAACTCCAGCTGGTGATTGCCAAAGGGAAATTAGCTGATATAAAAAATATTAATAAGAACAGTTTATTGAATAATTTAAAAAAAACGTTGTATAAAGTCTCATGCCTCTAACTATATTATATGAAAAGTTAAGATTTAGAACCTTAAATAATCATGTATAGCAGAAAACGATGTTAGAAAAAGTCACTCAGTAGAAAACTGTAGATGGGTGTCCCTCTCCCCTCACAAACAAAGAAGAGTTGAATCTCACTCAATGTTCCCTTCTGGCTCCCTCACAGTCAAGATGGTTACAAAGAAGCTCAACACCGTGATTTATTCATCTTGTATCTTGCCTTATTTTAGTGGGTCATAAAGTTGGTAACAGAGTAAGTGAGAGATGTTTAAGCCAAGCTGTGGCAAATAAATGTCTTTTGCTTTTACTTTGATCACTTGTGGCCCCTACAGGCCGGTTAATGTTGACTAAACATATTGTGGATTCATGTAAAATGCAAGATTAGTTTTGGAAAGAGAGACACATGTACATGCACGCTGAACTCACAGACTTACAGAGATAATATTAGTCCCTTTAACTTTTCGAGATAATGAAGAGATAATGTATTATTGTTTTGTTTCTGTGTGACTGACCTGTGCCAGGTGAGCATGTAGGCAGTGGTGGCTGGCCCTCAGGTAGGCTGCTGTGAGCTGGTAGTGTGGGGGGACACAGTGCTCTAGCAGGTGGCGCACTGTGGCCAGGTCAGCCATGATGCCGTGTTGGAGAGCCGACAGGTGGCCTGCGAGCCCGGGGCCCCGCGTGTGCAGGTAGGAGACACTGCGGAACCTGGCAGAGACCGCCTCCTCCAGCACCTGACGGGGGAAATGTAAGACACAGCAGAAATGTGAAAGAGGTAATGATTAAAGGTGAGGTGTTGTGTTGGATTCTGACCTGGAAGAAGCTGGCTCTCCAGCAGCGGGGTCGTCCGGGGGGCAGGGGCCTGGAGTGGCCTTTGGCCCCCCCTCTCTCCTCCAGTAGAGCTCGGTCCAGGGCCTCCTCCCGCTCCACAATCCTCACCGCTGATACGAATGGTGTTGGGTTCTGTCGGGCCAGAGCCAGAGCGCTGCTCACCACCGCCCACAGCTCCTTACCTGCACACAGGGCGGTTAAGAAGAGAGACATGTTGGATTTTTTACCTACCTTTTCATTAATGATGCAAATATCCAATATCTAAGCTAAACACATCAACTTTTTAAGTGTATCATTGTCAGTTAGATTATTCATTTAATGTACTTTAAGTTTTCATTTGACTGATGCAAACAGAACATCACATGATCTTTAATACAGGACATTTCAGGACAAATACTGTCCTCCCTGAGACGTTTTAATGCTGCACCATATATACATGATTTACATGAACCATGTGTATTGTGATAGATGGGGTGTCATTTGTAGTTACAAACCTACAGAGAAACGGAACCAAAATGTGCAGTCCATCTCAGCTGTGAATAGATTTTTAGCCTCTTTGAACTCTTTGTTTTGGTGTTTCTGCCCCCAAACGGCTGCAAATGAGGATGGCTTTTAGCAACAAAAAAACTATAAGTAGGCAAGTACTGTAGCTGGAGTTTGTGAGGGGCAAAATCATGACTTTAAATAAACGGTGATGTTATTACATGACTAGGGGTTGAGTAAACTGGGAACAATCTCTCTGAAACGACTTGCTCATTAAGGGGGAATATACAGTATGTCCATGATGTGTCATGCTCTTGTTCTGCTGCCCCCAAGTGAACAAAAATACCTTTCTTTACCTTAAAGAAATTATAATTTATTTTATACATTTCCTTATACATCTAGCAAAATAAGACACACTTACTTAATACAAATAAATGTAATATAGTCCAAACACAATCAGTCAAATGAAGAAGGAGGTTTTATGTTACGGTATTACATTTCAATACTTCAATACCTAAAAAAAATCCTGTTAGAATAAGGAGATTATAGTTATTTATAAATGTTTAATTCGATACAAAAATATGGGGCACTAAACTACAACAAATATAGATGCCATACATGTTTATGTTTGCTTATGATACATATAATTAATTAAACTGAAATGACTGCGTAAACGTTCTGTATGCTGCTTATATGCTCTCGTACCCAGGGCGTCCACCAGCTGCCCGACTCCAGAGAAGTATCTGCCCACCAGCTCCTGCTCCTCTGGGCTGAGGGCACTTCCTGCCGGCCCAGCAGCCCCATACAGCTGCCACAAGATGTCGTCCTGCCAGCGCTCCAGATCCATCAGCCGGGCGTGGGCCTCCAGGAGCCGCCGGGACTCCACCAGACGCTCCGTCTCCATCACCATGCTGCGCACTGCAGAGGGCAAGGGAGGGTGGAAGGAGGGAGGACTTTAATTTAGAAAACTGTCAACAGCTGGTGCTGCTGCTTTCTGCTGTTAAACACAATGCATACTAATTTCTCCAGCTAAAAAAGTTATTATAAATAAAACAAAATACAATGAATAGCTTTACAAAATCTGTGTTAATTGTACGGTTGGGGCAATGAGCTGCATTATATTTCAGAATCAGAATACTTAGTTTATCCCGGGGGGAATATGGTTATATTTCACACAGGCTCCACCCTCTACTGGACTCTATGGGTACTACCCTTAACCATGCTATGCGAGCATTCACATACTGAGTTGCATAAACGTAGCCGGCCAATCAGGGCGAGCCTACCTGAATGCGCCCGCAGGCACACAGTATATAATCTGATCCTGTTATCCTTTTTCTCTTCAGCGAGCGAGCAACAACTGATGTAGAGAAAGTAAAAACGTTTGAAAGAAGAAGAAAGAAGTTATCATACCTTCATGGAGTCGCCACTTCTAGAGACCCGGGCCGGTCCTTCGTGCCCTGACTTAATAGCGCGATCCCCACCACCTCTGCTTCAAGTGTTTGGGGGACCAGAATATGGCCGAGGCGTAGCCATTCACGTTCGCCATTCACGTTCGCCATTCACGTTCGCCATTCCAGCGGGGCGGATGGCTTCGTTTGCCGGGGAGGAGGATGACGAGGACTTCTCTTTGTCGGGCACTTCCGTCATGGCCATGGCCATGGCGGCTGAGCGTGGCAGCCCATCTGCTCCCAGCAGGCAGCAGGCTGGGCAGAGAACCTCTGCCCCGCTGCCGTGTGACAGGGCGGCTGCAAATAAACAAGGGTGTGTTGGGCGTCTCGCCCCCACCTCACCGGATCAGAGCGATTATTTGGCCAAAGCATCGGCCAAATTAATAGCTTGGTCCATGGTGTGGCCGCCGCTGCTTGCCATGTGATGTCCCTGGGGGATCACGCCGCATGGCACTTTCCAAAAAAAGACTGTGAAGACTGGGAGCCCCCGGGTCTACGGAAGGGCTCTTTGGATCGATTTCCTTGGTCACGTGGGTGAGGAGTAGTCGCAGCTTGGCGTATGCTGCTTCTTGCTCATCCTCAGAGGGCAGAACACTGTCCCACACTTGCCGCCCGGCTGTAACGTCCCGTCCACACGGCGGCGTGCGTTGAAGCTTCAACACTTCTGCCCATTCACTTTGAATGGGGTGACGTCACGCTTTGCTGAACTGCATTGTGGGAGCGTTGCTTCGCTTTGCTCGCAGTGCTCGCTTCAAAAGTTAAGCAATGTTCAACTTTTGAAGCTTCGGCGGAAGCGTCAGCCAATCAAATCATTTGCCAGTACAAGCTCTAGCCAATCAAACCGCGTGCTTGTGTGTCCGGGGCGGGAGATTCATGTGATTGGTTGTTGGTCGAGCTTCAGACACTCCCGCCGGCAAGCTTCAACGCACGCCGCCGTGTGGACGCTGCGTAACTCCAGTAAAGGAAGCAGCAGGCGGGCGCGCGCACGTGAGGGAAATAAACCGCAGAAAGTGCTGTTAAAGCACTGTGCGGGTTCAAGAGACGATATTGCCGGCGTGCTGTTGTCAGAAAAACACACCTTGCCTGGTATAATAGCTCCGATTAATGCGTTTCACCGTTGAATGTGAACACACAGCGTTAATACGAAGGCGCGCGGCCCCGTGAGAGTGGCCGCGGTGCGTTCAAGGACCTCCGTAGAAGAACGGTGGGTTACGTATTGTAACCCTAGTTCTAGAGAGATGTGTGTGTGAGAAATGCATTCAGTGAAAATGATTGCATTTATCCCAGAGTAAGAGTCATCCCTCTCCACAATTCCACATTTCCCCATAATGTCCGTTTCAAAGAGAAGGCATTATGACGGTGAGTTCAAGGACCTCAGAAGAAAATCGGCCCTTTCTGTGTCAGACCCCCATGGGCCAAACTTCCTTTTATGGAAGGTTTGGCAGCGGAGTGGGCCACCAGAGAGTACTACAGCTTCTTAGCTGCGGCTCCACAGCTGCTTGCATGTCCCCTAACACAGTTTTATGGGGAATGGAAGCTCAGCTGTGTATTGACAGAGTGGATGGACAGGACACTGAGACTGGGTTACTCACTCCAGTTTTGCAGCGTCCCTCCTCCATTCAGGTTACGTATTGTAACCCTAGTTCTAGAGTGATGTGTGTGTGAAAAATGCATTCGATCAAAGCGATTGCATTTATCCCAGAGTAAGAGTCATCTCTCTCCACAATTCCACATTTCCCCATAATGTCCGTTTCATACAAGGTTAATTGGGCACCCATTATGAGACATAATTCCCCACTCGCCGCCCCAGTTGTAACTCCAGTAAAGGAGGCAGCCAGTGGGCGCGCATGTGAGTGTGATAAACCGCAGGAAGTGCTGTCAAAGCGCTATGCGGGTGCAGGGACATTATGGCCGGCGTGTTGTTCAGAAAACACACCTCGCCTAGTGTAATAGCTCCGATTGATGCATTTCACCGTAGCCTACGAGTACAACAGACTACCGTTAGGCTACTCCCTATCCCCACGCACGTTCAGCAAATGTGTGACCACAGCGCTTCAGCCGCTTCGCGACCATGGCATGAGGGTTTTCTTTTACGACCTCATAGTCATGGCCAGGTCCAGGGAAGGGGCAAACACAGCCCAATTGATCCAAGTGGATTGTGGTCAATTGGAAGAAGAGCAGCCCCATACCTCACCAGCAGGTGCAGTATCTGGGGGTTCTGCTTGATGCAGGCAGACTACGGGCCACCCTGTCAGAGAGCAGACAGGCATCCCTGCTTCGGGCAGTTTGCAGACTGCGACAGGGGGCGACAGTGTCAGCTTTGACCATTATGCAGACTCTGGGTCTGATGGCGGCTGCGCACTCCGTGGTACCACTGGGATTACTGCATATGTGTCGCCTGCAGAGGTGGTTTGCCGGTCTTCGTTTAGATCCCAAGAGGCACAAATGACTTCTGGTGACCATCCCCCCCTCAGTGGATGGCAACCTCCGATACTGGGGGTCCCCAAAACCTCTGCGGAGGGGAACTCCACTGGGGCGAGTGACCTCCTACATCACGGTGTTCACGCCCAGTTCGGGAGAGCGGAGGTGGACCTGTTCTCCAACCGGCGCAACAGCCACTGTGCCCTGTGGTTCTCCATGGCTCGGCGGGACAATCCACCCTTGGGGGTGGACGCGTTTGCACACGAGCCATGGCCAAGAAAGCTGCTCTACTCCTTTCCACCGCTGCGTCTCATTCTCCCCCTCCTGGAGAGGGTGAGATGGGAACATCTGTCAGTCATCCTAGTGGCCCCAGGTCGGCGTTCGGCGCCATGGTATGCAGAGGTGACACAGATAATGGTGGGCGAGCCTTGGGCGGTGCCTCAGGTCTGGGGAGCACTGTCTCAGGAAGCAGGTACAATGGGGGTGTTACCCACTCTGGGCCAACCTCTCCAGGCTTGGTTCCTGAGAGGGACAGGCTGAGACAGGGGGGATTGTCTGACGAGGTTATTCAGACTATCCAAGCAGCAAGAGCAGAATCCAACACAGCCTGTTACAGGCCAAAGTGGTTGGGATTCCAGCGATGGTGTGAAGAAAGGAGTCTAGAGCCTATGTCTTGTACGCTGGGCTATATTCTGTCCTACTTACAGTTACTGGTGGACAGGGGGCTTGCTTATTCCACAATTAAAGTGTATACAGCAGCCATTTCATCCTGCCATGAGGGATTTGGCGGCAGGTCAGCCTTCAGTCAGCCGCTTATGGCGCGGTCACCTCCTCCCCGCAGTGGGACCTGCCGTTGGTGCTCGAGGCTCTGGTCACAGAACCATTTGAGCCTCTGGAGCGCTCCTCCCTGAAGGCTCTGTCATTGAAAGCAGCTATGCTGCTTGCCTTGACTTCAGCCAAAAGAGTGTCCGAGCTGACCGCTCTGTCGGTACACCCGAGTTGCCTTTTGATCCGGGGTGACCGTAGCGGGCGACACTCAGACCGAACCCCTCCTTTGTTCCCAAAAACCTAGGGAGTTCGTTCAGGTCAAGGGTTATACAGTTGAACGGCTTTAGTCTTCCACCCCTTATTGGGGCAAGGGAGGCTAAATTACACCTCCCCTGCCCGGTGCGTGCGCTGGCATGTTATGTAGAGCGCACGGCTTCCATTAGGCGCACCGAACAGCTGTTTGTGTGCTTTGTGGGGGGGGGGGTGTGGCCGGTAAAGCTCTGTCCAAGAAGCGCCTGACAGGATGGCTCTGCGAGTGCATCTCACATGCCTACGGACAGACGGGGAGGGCCTTCCCCACTGGGGTCCGTGCACACTCTACACGGGGTATGGCCGTGTCAACAGCCTTGTTCAACGGCGTGAGTGTGGAGGACATATGCATGGCGGCGTCTTGGTCTACGCCAGGCCCCTTCATAAGGTCTTATCTCTTGGACATGTCTGACTCCTTCTCATCCTCGGTGCTTGCTGGGGCAACACACGACTGGTGAGAGGAGGGGGGCTGTGGGTCAGTAGGCATCTGACCCCCCCCCGGGACATAGTGCGCTTATGTTTTCCCATGCGCCTTAGGGACCCGGGAAACGTAGTATGCTGTAAACCCCATACAGGATTGGAGGACGCTCCTCGCCTTCCTCACTATTTTTCATGCACACTCAACACGAGGTAAGCGTGTGGGGACCAAAAGCCGGTCAGAGGCAGTGTGATGGCTCGATGTTGTTGAACGACAGGGCGTTTATCCATCAGGGCTCCACCCACTGTACCCATAGAGTCCAGTAGAGGGCGGAGCCTGTGTGAAATATAACGGTGGGTTACATATTGTAACCCTGGTTAGATAAGCACAGGCGGAGCCCTCTACCTAGGGGCCCTGTCTTTCCTATGCCGCTCGCTGAAGATGGTGTAGGATAACAGGATCAAGAGGCGTGGCCGCCTTATATACTGTGTGCCTGCGCACGCATTCAGGTAGGCTCGCCCTGATTGGCCGGCTACGTTTATGCAACTCAGTATGTGAATGCTCGCATAGCATGGTTAAGGGTAGTACCCATAGAGTCCAGTAGAGGGCTCCGCCTGTGTTTATATAACCAGGGTTACACTATGTAAGCCACCGTTTTGTGACATGTTCTCCATTTTAGAATTAAATGTTTTTTTAAATAAAATACAAAAATAAAATAAACTATAAGTTAAAGTAAAAATGTGCAATAAAAATATACAATAAAATAAATAAAATAAAATAGAAAGGTTGATATAAACATAAGAAGTTAGACTAAAAAGATAAATATACTTTTTTAATATGAGAAGTTAAAGTAAAAATGCACATTGTAATAAATATATATGCATACAGTGATGTATTGGTATTAATAAGATATAAATGCTAAATTGCACATTTTTGAAGGGTTTGGCTGCTGATGGTGAAGTCCAATGCCAGTCTTTTGAGTTAAACAGTCTGATGCTCTGTGGTCAATCTGGTGAATATAGTCTTAACTGAAGCTCCTCCTGTGACTGACCAGCATTGGAGACATTATCCAAGAGGACCCATACCTTCTGGTTTTCATTCATTGCCAGTGTACTTGAATTTGATCCATCTAACGCACAGTTTGGTCGCTCTATGCTATAATCAGAAACAGAAATCATTATGAATGAATGAGTGTTCGGCCCTCTCACCAGAGTATAGTCGTGGCAGGTTGCTGACAGCAGCGAGGAGCTGACGGTGGCTGACAGAAACCTCTCTCATCCTCTCCAGAGACTTTACCCCTGCTGTGTTTCCATCAGACTCCAGTCCTGCTCTCTTCAGAGCCTGCGACACCTCCTTCAGCTCCCCCCGGGCCCCCCGGAGCTGCTCCAGACCCCAGCCCACCCCCTCCAGGTACGACTGCACCATGGACTGGAAGGAAAGCAGCAGCACAGTGGTTACTATTGATCCCCTCTGACTGACTAACAGCAACCATTTCTAAGTGCAACCATTTGGGGTCCATATTGTGATGTCTGTGGTGTCACCTTGAGTCTGGTGTGTATGGAGGCAGTCCTCTGACTCTCTCTCTTCCTGTACTGGCTCAGCCGCTCCAGATGCTCCGGCCGACAGAACACACCTGAAGCCCACTTCAGGGCAGCCCCCCGGGCCAGGCACTCGGCCCGCTCCACCTCCGGCCATATCTGAGCCACCTGCAGCGAATCTGACAGAACACCAGGGAACAATAACATTATTGTTATAACTATATGTAGCAGCTAGTGTCTCCATGCTCATTTAGACGATACTAACACACCTAAATCTCCAACCAAGCGCCAGATTTTCACAAGGAAAATCAAAATATGTGGAATGAAAAAGACAACATCTGGTTCTGCTGCATCCATTCTGATCCTTGGTGTTGGAATGCAAAGCTAAAATGGGGCAGTACTCTTTTAAAACCCTAATTTTTGGATTGTATTATAATGTACATTTTCAGTTGACATATGTTTTGTCTGCCAGTGCCTTTTTACTTACTACCACTGTGATTTGCCCAGGACAGAAATGTTCAGATTCCTGTAATTTTTATTACATTTACAATTCTTTAATTTTAGTAAAGAACCACTAGGAAATGTAATATTACAATAACTGAATAAAAAAAAAAAGGGATTAGAGGATTTTTCTTATTATTGTTATGTTGGTCAGCTATAGCCTTTTACATTAGAGTGCATTCACCATGTACTTTCTAAGATGACGTAAACAAATGTGAAAGACAATTAATAATATGGCTAACAAAGTACATTTCCTTCCGTAATATTCAGTTAGTAAGCTAAATCTAGTACACATCTTGCGTCTTAATTTAGTATGATGGCTTGACACATCATCATAGTTATATAGTTAGCATAGGTAGCATTTTCCAGTTTGTTGACAGGCACAACTTTGGGAAAAATACATCTGCAGAACCAGAAAGCAGCTGGTTTAGTTTAGTCAAACAGTGAGAACCAGAGATCACTTTTGTAAGTTGATCAGCAGAACCACACCTAGCTCAGCAAACATGCAATATTGTAAAATGCTGGCTCACTTTTTATTGGATTTTAGGTTCTGCCTGAGAATCAACTTGTGATCCCTTCACATTATGATGTACACGCCACTCTTGGTTTCCTGCACTAACATCAAAATATGCTTTTATGGAATAAACAAGTCAGGAAGCAGAGCAGAGGGAATACTTTACACAGCAAATGCATTATATGTACGGTGCAAGACTATTGATGCTGTTGAATAAGGGACCTGACACTTCAGGTTTGCCTACTCATCTTAACAGTTTTCAGAGGGTAAAAATGTTCAATCATAATTGGGTAAGTTTGGTACCAAATGGATTTCAAAATGTCATAGTTTTAAAATATCAAACTTAACCACAGGAAGAGGAAGTTGAGACTTTTGCCACTGGCCTGGTGATCTGCCAACTGAGTTTAACAATATTTCTGTCACCACAGGAGCTTTGCATACAAGACATGTTCTGCAAATAATCCAGTGTGGTGAGACAGTTCTCAATACTGATTATGTCAGTGGCGAGCCGTCAGGGCCCTCTAGGCCCTCTCTGAGGGCCTAAGATATTCTACAAAATAATATTTAAAAATATTTTTTTTTTTAAATGTTAGTTATATTTTTCATTAGTTTTACCAAAATAACTTGATTTAATTGTATTTAAAATAACATTTCCAAATAAATAAATCCTTCGAATCTGCCTATTCAGTTTCTGTTTGAATGTGAAGGGTTAAATGAAAGAAGCTCCTTTAGCCGTCTCTGAGAGAGTAATGTCAAATGACAGTACAATTGACCAATCATATCCTCCCTCTAAATGGGTGGGTTTTATTTTTTAAGTTCCGCCCGCTGTGAAGCTTTTCTTGTTTCCATAGCAACAACAACTTCCTGTCAACAGCGTAAACTCGCCTTCAAAATAAAAGCATGCCAAATTACACTCAAGACATACAACTGCAATGAAAGTAACAAACACAATGCAATATCCTTTTCAATTTCAAAGAACACAAATTGGGTTATTTGCAGATGTTGTTTTGTGTGGTGGAGGGTCGTTTCATTGATGCGTTTTGCACCCCGGGCCGTTGTTTTTGATATTCCGCTGAAGTATACGCTGTGACGTGTAGGCCTAAACTCTTTTCTTTCTTTCTTTTTTTTTTCGAGGGAAGGGGTGGGGGTCAGAGGGCCTAGGTATAAAAGTCACGGCTCGCCACTGGATTATGTATTGCATTATTTAATCTCTCAGTGATTCTGTTACATCTCCGAAATGTCCTGAAATGTCCTCCGAGCTCTTCCATGCTTCCACAGTTTGTTATTGTCCTACTGAGGCCATCACTGTTAAAAAGAGACTGTTTTGGGCATGCTTAGCAGCAGTTTTGATATGCTGAACAGTCTGAGTGAAACATTTATCTGCACTCTAATGGAGAGCATCTTTCCTTATTTCATTTCTCATCTTTTAGTCAGCTAGACAGGCAGCCGTGCAGCCATCAGTCATGTGAGAATGCCTCATTTAAACACATCTTAATTGAATATTGTGCTGGGTATTGACTCAGCAGACAGTAATGTGCTGTGCTAGGTCACCAGAATAAAGAGATTCAGTGCCATACGTCATGTATGGTCGATCTGGAAGTTAGCATAGCAAAAGCTCCCTCCACAAAAAGCAATGGGATTTTTCCATTGGGTTTTTGAATATTGTAGAATAAAAGATATCTATGGCATATACACGTTGATGATACTTACACATTTTGTTCAGCAGGATAATTTTCACATATTAACACCACTTTATGATTTTGAAGTGTAAATGCTATCGCCAGAATTACAAAAGCTAACGCTGGGCCATAAACAAACTACATCATGGTCACATGACTTCACGTCACCACCGCTAAGCTAAAGTCGGCTAATGTTCCGCGGGATGATGTTTAGTCGTCTCATTCAGCCACCTGTTAACACGTTCATATTTAAGACACATAAAAAGGAAGCTTCAGACATTTACCAGTGGGATATTTACTGATATATTTTATTTTATTAAATTCTCTTCAGCTTGTGCTAACCACAGACCTTATTTCACGCATCTAACCAAAAACACGTTTATCACCGTTGACATCAAGACGAGGGAACCAGAAGTGGTAAAACTCATTTCAGGGTTCAGGAGTCATTGCTGCACCCATCTATTAAGCAGTCATTCTGTGAATTTAGGAATACTGCTAAATAAATACTGTGATAACATTTTAGATGAAAGTGTTAAGATAACATAATTAAATCAGTGGTTGATTAAGCAGGCATGACTAAAAGTTCAGGTTTGGGTCTTGGTAGGAATAGCCACTCCTGACTAGGGTTGCAAAGGGGCGGAAAGTTTCCGGAAAGTTTCCATGGAAAGTTAAGCTGGGGAATTTTGGAAATATTCAATGCAAAATTAAACAAAAAAACATGACATTTCAACAGATTCTTTTTTTTTAAAGTTATTTTTTAAAGTAGAACAGAACAAGTTTTAATTATTTTATTGAACAATTATTTGTTTAATTGAAGAACAAAAACAGGAATGTTGAGTTAAATGTTACTCATCCCCCCCAACCCCACTCATTAAAAAATGAACAAAAATGCACCCCCCATCCAAAAATCCCCACAAAGTCCCATTCAAAATGTTAAATGAAAAGAGCCCTTCTCCCTCCAAAAAGTCCCATTAAACATGCAAATCTTCCTTCAAGCAATCCTCTGCATTTTTGCTAAACCCTTTCAGTCAACGGGCTCTTCCTGGGCCTCATCAACATCCAACTCTGAGGTTGCATTTGAATAGTCCATTTAGCTTAGGAACCTTCCTAACGGAGTGAAATGACCCGGAAGTCCCTCAGTGGCAGCCATGATAAGTGCCGTTCGAATTCTCTAAATTAAAAGGAAAGGAGGTTTCAAACTTCCTTTATAACCTCCTTTAGCTTAGGAACCACTGGACCTCCCTAACCTAAAGGAGAGGAGAAAATGCTGCCCCACAATGCCTTGCGGCCGCGGCATTTGCCGTCACACAACAGTCGGCTGTTCACGGAAACAACTGATTATGAACGAGAAATGATATCATGAAAGTTACGGTGCTTATTAAGCATTTCAAAACGTATGTGGTAAGTTGCCAAAGTGCTTTGTTTTGAACGTTCATCAGTATTATAATCAAAAAGAGAAATATGAACGTTAGTTTTTACTGAAATTGTCAAATAAAGTCAACATTTCGCAGTCTTTACTGAGCTGTGTGGGGTTTGTTCAACTTTTAAAAGATGTTTGAATGGTGATATACACAGTGATAGATGTTAAGGACTAACATTTATAATAAATACATTTGTATTGATTTTAAGATCTTTTCATACAATCATACGTATTGGGATCATTTGTATTAATGTGGACCGGAGGGAGAGGGTGACGAGCATAAGTTTCACTTTCCTTTTTTATTTCAATTCCAACTTTGGTCATGAAGAATATGTTTCTCTGTTGTCCACGTTCATAAAGCATAAAGCAACAGCATCAGAGCACGGTGCAGAGTCTCTAGATGAGTTTACAGTAGTCCCTCGTTCTTATTAAACATCCATGTTGTAGTCCGCTGTATAGAAAACTGTAGTTTCCATAGTTTCCCCACAGCAGCAGCAGGCGCACATTTATGACCTCTGCTGGCGCATCATAAACACGTCGGATAGTGAAAGTGCAGTCGGATTCTCTAAAGTACCGCAGTCTCTTCTCCTAAATCCTTTTGAATTCTCCTATCCACTATCCCTTAACCCCGTGACGTTTCACTCCGAGGTCAAGGAATAGACGATAGGGATAGAACTTAGGAGCTGTTTTTTTGGAGTATTCGAACGCAACCTGAGTCTTCCTCTTCAGTGTCACTGTCCAGCCTTGTTGAGGATGGCTGTGTCAGGCTCAGAGAGCCTTAGGTTTGCCCGAATGCCAACCAGTTTTTCCACTCTCACATTTGTGAGCCTGTTGCGAACCTTTGTGTGGTCTCAATAGCCATGCAGTAAGCAGTGTGCTATGGCATGGATATTCAAGTGTACTTGAATGGCATCTGTTTGTTTTAGTCAAGATTATGCTAAAATATACTTTCCCCAACTATATTTAAGTTCCCTATGAAGAGCCAACCTTCAATTTGGAAAATTCCCAGTTTATTCCCATAAATTCCCGTTAATTCCCGTGGAAAGTTTCCATCTTTGAAAATTCCCGGAATTTTGCAACCCTACTCCTGACTGTGATTGTGTCGATTACACAGACAGGACAGTCTCTGTCTAGCAGGGGGTCACGGGACACTGCTATCTCCTTCCAACATTAAATCTGAGTGCTCATCATCAGCAGCTCTGCAAAACAACACACCATCGAGCCCACATTCAGGAAAGTGATGAGTCAGGTGAGCCTCTGCTGCAACAGCACAGTGAAAAACACAAGAGGACAATACAGCAGTGAGTCACTGATTATAATGGCAGGTTGGTATGGAAACCAACCAATCATCTCATGATGGTACACAGTGGAGCATTTAAACTGGTAGGATGGCCGGCCTGCTGTCAAAAAGGACTCCTGCTAGACCTACACCAACAATGCTATACATTCTTTTTTTATGCAGATACATGTTGTCTTTCAAAGAGGCTCTCACCCAATTCTATATGTGAAAGAGGCCCTATGATGCTAATGTTCAGGTTCATTTCTGTATTCTGTGACATGTTCACATGCTTCAATGTTAAAAAAAACTATATATTTTTCTCATACTGCTTGTGCTGCAGCACCTGTTTTCACCCTCTGTCTGAAACCAGAGCCCAGTCTGCAAAGGATGGAGATGCAAAAGATGCTGTTGAGCAATATGCTAAGTGTCAGATCCATATTTTCGGGGGTTTGACCCATATAGGAACTAAAGTTACCTTAGGATATCTCGTCCTCTGCTACACCAATTAGCCAACTTTTATCAGTCCCCGCAAAATACCTTCACTTGATTGAAATGCAATGCTAAAATGCTAGACTGTCCCTTTAAAGTCCACCATTTTCATAAAAGTAATTTCATGACAACTGAGCTTTATTTGCTGATAAAAATCATGTGATAAGACTGAAAGCTCCAGAATAGCGACTAAATGGACCTTGTAGTGATACTGTTTGAACAACTGTATGAAATTGCATTTAGTCCATCAGGACATGTTATGTTCAAACTTACTGATGAACTTGTAGAGTGTGTAGCTGATTATTGTGATCTCAACCGCTGTGTTCAGGGAGGAACCTCCATCACTAAGGGTGTCACAAGTGCCGCCCCATGAATAAATGCATCACTCTAAACCTAATGATTCAGTTGTTGAGTAGTTCAATCATTTAATCACTGTAGCCATGCACAGCTTTGTTTCATCTGTAGTAAGACACTTTATAAGAAGTGGGTGTTGGCCTTGTCAATGTTGTCAACAGTGTGTGTCTGTGCATCCAGTTACCTTCTGGTTTGTCCCGGCCATTCTTCGGATCCCCTGCAGACATTGGAGTTGAGTTTTCAGCTGCCCGTTCACCCCACGAGTCTCTGTTTCCCCGGAGACCGGCTCTGAAGGGGTCCGGGGGGCAAGGCTGGCAGAGGAGGGTGAAGAAGGACAGAGATGAGACAGAAAAGAAGGAGGAGGAAGAGGAGAGAGCGTGGAGAGAGGGCATATATCCATTCTACTGACGGCTTTCCTCTACTCCCTCACACACACTCTCTCTCCCAGACACATCCTCTGCTGAGAGGCCGGCAGGAAAGGGAGGGAGCAGGGGGGAGGAGAGGGAAGAGAATAATTCTGGAGGGTGGGGAGGGGGGAGGTTGAGGGGAGAAAGGGGCAGGGATAGGGATGTAAGCTGTGTTCAGGGACATGTTGAAGAATGACATAGAGAATAATATTTACCTCAGATTGCAAAGCTCTCACACTGTCTATGTTAGGTGACAACATTGTGATGGATAAATCCTGGATGATAGTACTTAGCTCGCATGTCAACAGATCCATCTCCATGACAACTGAGCAAACTCCACCCACTGATTGAGATGTGATGCGGTTTTAAGACCTGGATAGAGCTTGTGAGGCAAATTCAGTTGGAATTGTTTTGTCACAAACAATTTACGGGGTCAAGAATGAACTGCATGCTTTAATACATACTTTTTAAAGGAGTAGTACCACATTTTAAGAAATAATCGTAATTACTTTTATTGCAGAGAATAAGATATCAACATTGTTTTTTTTGTCTGCACAATAAATATGAAGTTACTGCCAGTCGTCAGTTAGCTTAGCTTATCTTAAGTGGAATAGACATCCTGGATACAAAATCTACTACAATCACCTCTACAGCTCACTGATTGAGAAAATGATGTAGAATTGACCTACATGGATTTGTAACTGGTTGCGAAATGATTTGTTCCAGAGGCTTCAGTACTTTTGATTCATGTAACAACCATGAAGACATCGATCAATATTCCTCAAATCCATATTGTATTTATTTGTTGTGACGTGTTTTGATTTTTCTGTCAGAAAAATGCCACTTTCTAATAATGAAGCGAAATGTGTTGTCTACAGTATCAAATTAAAAAGTATTAATATAATAGTTATTATAATTGTGTCAATAGCAGGGGAAGGGACCAGGAAAACAATGCAGATGGTGGCAGAAAGGGGGGGGGGGGGGGGGGGGGGGGGGGGGGGGGGGGGGGGGGGGGTAGGTACTGTAAGTGGACGTATGGTGTTCCACAAAACCTCGTAAAGGGAAACCAATAAAGCACAGTTACAGGAAGAAAACAATGTATAATGCATAAGTCATTAGCCTACAAGCAGTCATAAAATAAGGGATTACAAGGAGCCAAGAACTAATGGAGGCCACGGCTGTTACTGCTTCCTCAAGTCACTGTTCACTCTACAGGACAGAATGATCAAGCCAGACAGTGTTCTGAACATTTCTGTAGTTAACATTCTTTAACACCAAATCTACTCAGTTTATAATCTTACATCGCACACATACAACTAGCGATCTATTAACTGTTTCTGGTCATGTGTGAAGCTACAACGCTACTGCTCTGGCATTGTGAAAGAACTGTGTGTTAGTTTTGTGTTTAAAAGGAGTGTGTCCCTAACAAATACATGTATGCTACACTCTTCAGTGGATGCTTTCCATCAAGTATGGGTCCCTTACTTGGACTATATTGGACCCACACTGTCATCTTTCATATCATGAGGGTTTCCTCCTGAAACCTAGCTTTTTCTAAGTACTTGAAAAGAAATACTATATACACTACAAAAACTGTAAAATGTGTCTAATTTCTAGTCAGAATATGTCTTTACAGTTGATATAAGCCCTAATAACTTAAGAAGTAACAATGCAGTGTAGGGTCTTGTTTTTAGACGATGCATCTTACATTTCTTGTTAAATCAAAGACTCTTGAAAGCATCTTATTTTCAGTTGTATTTCAGATGAAACGTTTTCTTTTTACATTTACATTTTAAAATCACCAACCAACATCAGAAAACCCAAAACGTTTGTGGCTTATTTTGTAACACAACATTACCTGATTCTGATCAAATATAGTTCAAAATAACTTATCTTATTAATTTTTTGGAACGGTAAAGGTTGGGGAAATCCTAAATTGTCCAGTATTTTTTAGTTTTTCACACCTTACTTGTCATGTCATGTCATGTCATGTCATGTCATGTCTCAGCTGTTGTGTTCTGTATTGTATTTGAAAAATGTAAGAAAGACATTATTAAAAAAAAAAGGGAAAAAAATCCTTTAATACCAGGAAGGTAAACTTGTCGCTCTATTGTTGATGCTTGACAACAGAAGCAGAGTCACTGACCCTCTGATCCCGTGCAGCTGTTAGTGCAGCGCCAGCCTTCATCACTGAAGAGGAACTGTGTTTAGAGAGCTGCCCTGTTTACTCCTCCTAGCTTCCCGGACCTCTTCAGAACACAGCGGGGAGCGTGCCAAGTGGACCGCAGGCTGGAGCCAGCACAAACAAGCTGTCTGAAGGGAACATGGGAACAATATCTCTCATTGCTGCACTTCAAATGTCCTCATGCAATTCAAAAAGTGTGTGTGTGTCAGAGCTCTGTGAATAACAAACTGAATGTGAATAAAGAAAATAAATGTGAAAGAACAGATCTTGAGAAAGCTTGTCCAGAATGGGTTGAATGTCAAGGAACTTGATGTTTATAATATTTTGGATCCTCCACATAACTAACTACCAGTATCTCAATTACATAAAGTGTTAGGAAATGATATGGTATACATGCATTAAAATATGCAATAAATGATTTCTTGGATACTTGCGGTCAGTGGAGATTTCCACCCAGCACATCCGAGGGACAACATTAGCATTTGAAACCATCTTTCTGGCACCTCATGAATGTAAGTCGAGTAGTCATCCCACCTTCATTTTTGTTTTGATCTCCATGAACTCCTGAGAAACTCATTCATTTCAATTCAACATTCAAGGCTTTATTAGCCATAGTCTTATGGCCTGTGGGATGAAACTGTCTGGTGGTCTTTGTCCTGATGCTGCGGTACCGCCTGCCAGACGGCAGCATGTCTTTAGAATGCTAAATGCTCCAGTATGTGGAAAGACAAGAAATAGTCATTATTAAACCAAAACAATGAGATGAAAGATGCTTAAACGCTCCGTAGAGCTGAGGGGAACGGAAAACGTGGGTGATAAGGTTGTCACATCCATTGGTTGAAAGTAACTAAGTACATTTACTCAAGTACTGTACTTAAGTACACATTTGAGGTATTTGTATTTTCACTTTATACCTCTACTCTAATTTGTACCCTTTACTCCACGACATTTATTGTTACAGATTTATTTACTAGTTACTTTATAAATTCAGATTTGGACACACAATACTAACGTAAAACTTAAAAATATGATTATTTGGTATAGTTCCATTCAGCATTATATTTAAGTAATTCAAATCATGAATGGGTAACCGAAAATTGCTTTAAAACATTTGAATATTTTATGATCACTTTTACTCAGAATACTTTATGTAGATTTTCTAACCGTACTTAAATGCTTCCACTTCAGTAACATTGTTGATGCAGTACTTTTACTTAAAATTGAGTATTTTTACAGTGTCATTTAACCTATATATCTTTTCAAATATGAAAAGTATTAAGTCTTTTTTAAGTATTAATCTTAGTCGCTCCAAACAACCAGTGGAAAGGACAGTTTTATACGAGAGCATTAGACTACAGGGTGCGAAAAATCATATGTTGAACAGTTTTGTCAAAACTGTCATCTCGTTTCTTTGCCACACATTTCCTTCAGGGCCATGTAAGGAACAGAGACATAGCAGGATGTTGTGCAGAATGTTTTCCTGTCAGGGTGGGACCACATTGCTGAGGACAACAAGGACGCTGACCTGCTGTTCTCTAGTGTCTCTAGTGACAGCCTGGAGGCGGGCAGGACTCTGGGTGTTTCTCAATGTCGAGGAAAGCTGCTCCAGAGCCACTATTTCAAGGATGCTACGTCATCGAGTCCCGCCGAAGGACTGTTCCATTGTCCAGGATGCTTGGAATACCGAGGACTGAGTCCTTCGTTGCGGGAAATTTCGAGGCTGCACATGTGTATCCTCCGCGGTCTTAAAATCCCCACAATGCTTTGCGCACGGACCAATTTCCAAATCTTTGGCGGAAATCGCGCTCCATGTAAGGTGGGGCCTCGCATATGACGCACACCTGTTAGCCTGTTCCACAATTCCTCGTTTTCCGAGGCGAGGAAGGATTCTTGCATCGCTTCTGAAGGACCTGACTCGGAGGGACTTGACCTACCAAGGAAGCGTCCTCGACATTGAGAAACAGTGGGTGTTTCTCAATGTCAAGGAAGGATGCTCCAGAGCCACTATTTCAAGGATGCTATGTCATCGAGTCCCGCCGAAGGACTGTTCCAATGTCCAGGCTCCTTGGAATTCTACCGAGTCCGGCGTCCTTCGTAGCGGGAAATTTCGAGGCTGCACATCTGTATCCTCCGCGGTCTTAAAATCCCCACAATGCTTTGCGCACGGACCAATTTCTAAAATCTTTGGCGGAATATGGCTGAATCCAGGCAGTACACATTTAAATGTAAGTATGTTCAGTGGCGTAGTAAATGTGCACATGACTTGTGTTTCAAGTTTATAGTCCGTTTGAGTTTTGCCCGTGTGAGCTCAAACCGAACCTTCTGAAAAACGAAACAATGTAACAAACTGTCGTCTGTTGCGCACCAGAGAAGCGGACTATTAGGTTTGAATGAGACCTTAGAGCGTTTTGCACCTAAATAAATAATTTAAATTAACCTTGTTTTGACTTTGCCTCTTTTGTTGATATTTGTGGTTTATGCTACAACGTGCACCAATATGTGTAAAAAGGGTATGATATATGAATGGAAAGGATGTACAGAAACACTTTTTTGGAAAACTATGAGAATGAAGAAAGGTGATTGAAGATGATAAATTATTGTAAATGTATGTATAAATGTAAATATGTAAGTAGCAATAACTTGCAGAAATGATTTAAAGGATAATCATTGATCAGCAGTAAGTAAGGGGTGGGAATTATAAGCATTTGCTTCCTCCTGCTCCCTTTCGGACACATATGATTTATTATTATGAATATTTTTGTTGAATATATACATATTAATATGAATATTGATAAATACTGTATTCTAACAATACTGTATTCTGTTTTTCACGTTATTTTTTATTTGTTTTTTAATCTAGG